AGAAAGAAAGAAAGAAAGAAAGAAAGAAAGAAAGAAAGAAAGAAAGAAAGAAAGAAAGAAAGAAAGAAAGAAAGAAAGAAAGAAAGAAAGAAAGAAAGAAAGAAAGAAAGAAAGAAAGAAAGAAAGAAAGAAAGAAAGAAAGAAAGAAAGAAAGGAAGGAAGAAAGAAAGAAAGGAAGAAAGAAAGAAAGAAAGGAAGAAAGAACTCTAGGGCCGGTAGAGCCAGTAGAGCCAGAAACAGGCCTGCAAATGGGGACATGTAAGCTGGGGAACACTTGGCATTCCCAAGCTGCCAAACTATTCACACTGAAGGAACTCCCCTCAGAACATCTTTCTTTTCCATACTACTTTATTTTCATTTTTTGCAGATCCTACAGCTCAGGGCTTTGTCACAACTTGCAAGCTCACACCTGGATGCTGGTCAGATGAGGGGACTGGAAAAGGAAAAAGAAACGTCCATGGTAAACATACTTCACCTTTTTTTGCTTGCCTAAGCCTCTAAATGAGGTGTCAGTCATATATTCATTAACCATTTGCCACTTATGAGATTATTTAATATATTAAAACCACAGTGGCAACATGCCACCCACATAACCTCACCATGGTTCCGTATCACAGAATTGTAGAATCACAGAATTGTAAGGGTTGGAAGGGACCTCCAGAGATCATTGTGTCCAGCCCCCCAGATAACATGTGTTTGTGGTTGGTGTAACTCAGATTAACACACCAAACCAATCTATTTTTCCTATTATTACTTCATATATTTCAGCATCTGAAGCTCACAGAAATATTTCTGCAGGACTGCTGAAATAAAGAAGTAGCAGTCTGAAAATGTATTTGTTTGGATATTTGCTTGCTTGCAGTTAATGAGAGATTTCCATTTCCATCAATTTAATAAACTGCTTATCTTAAAATTCATTAAAAAAAAAATGGGGAAAAAAACCCACAGGGTTTAATTCACTGGATGACTCAGAATTTGAGTGTTGCAGTCCTGACGCATGACATATATACAGCACAGTCCTTGTGAATCCATTAAAAATGAAGCAACTGCACCACACCCTGAATGCATGCTGAAATAGTGTTTTAAATTCTAGTCAAAGCTCCATTCAAAGACATCTTGTAAGTTATGTGCTAGTGCTTTCCATCCTTCAAGGAGTAGTTCCCAAACATAGCATCTTGAGCTGCCATACAGACACTGTAAAAGCCCCTATGGTAAACAAAGGGCTATGGGTACTGGAGCATTGCCATTTGCATCAGAGTCTCATACTCCATCCTTCTCCCAGTCTGCAAGGCCAACATGATGATCATTATGGGCAGGGTGTGGGTCAAACAGTCTCAGCTTAGTCTGCATTGCAAAATCCTCACTCTCATCTTTTTTCAAGCCTGTTTCTGGAGTGCTGCACCAAATGGGTCTGGCACCAGCTCAGAGCCTGACATCTCCACAATGGTATTATTGTTGCTTTTTTGGATGATGACACCACTTTCAGGTCCCAGCAGAGACCTGGGCCCATTGTGCAAGGCACAGTACAGATGCAAAGTGATCATCAGTTCCTGTTGATGGAAGAGTTTTCACTCTCACTAAAGGCAACAAACACTATAGCTTTGTTCGCTAATGAAGGACTGAGGATAAGCAAAGCAGAGGGCTGAATCCTCCAAGGTCTCGGAAGGCCTTGCTCCTCATCTTATGTAAATAGTAATCCCAAAGCTACTTTTGTAAAGTTACATGACTTGCTCAAGTTCAGAGAGAGCCAGTGAACCAAACCTAGAGGTCTTAACCCTAGCACTAATCTTCCTGTAAACATCATCCCTTAAAACAAAGGAGCTTTAAAGCACCATAAACTGCAAGTCAGTAACTCTAAAAGAGTTACCCATCCCATCCATCGTCACTGCACAGAAAAGCAGTTGCACCACCAGCAGCAAAGCTAACGGTGCTTGGTTTCCTATAGATCCGTGTCCAGTGACTCAGAAATTCCTTTAGAGAAGGGTAATAGCCATTACTTCCCACCCGGGATACCTTCAGCACTCCCTTCACCACTGCGATTCATTTCCAAATGACAGATGTGTTCAAAATGTTTTAATGCTGCTGTTGTGGTTGGGCCATCCCTACAGTTGCGCTGGCTTCCTGGCAGATGTGTAAGAGTGTGGTAGGAGCAATGTGCTGGTCCTCTCCTCTTCCCTGCTGTCTCATTTCATCTTTATTTCAGGAAAGAAAATGCTTCTCAGATCTTTACTCTTCTGTCTACTTTGTTTGACATTTGCTACCAACAGAGTGACTAATAGATAAACAAATGCATATGCCTTGTTCCATTAGGAAACCATGACAGAAACAGAAACATCTTGGGTTTTTAGGGGGAGATCTGTGGTTTCTAGGCATTCACTTCACTAAAAGCCAACACACACTGGAGCTGTTGGTCATGCATTAGCTTACAATAGCTTCTTTTATCTCTCAATGAAATCTGTGTGGTTCAGCCACTGCAGCAGTGGTGGTTACAGTGTTAGCTAATTGCAAAGCTAAGCAAGGGTATTGAATGCCATAGCTTTGGGTCTGTGTATTCACCTTATTTTTTTCTTTCTCTACCTGTACTTGTATGAGAGAAAGACATACTGTACATGGAAATATGTTATATACACACTCTGTTTTATGCACCGTGTATTTCATGATAGGAATATATATACGTAATTATATGCATATATATTCATGGACATGTTCATAAATGTTCCATATATAAAATACGTAAAATATTGCATGCAGCATCATATGTGTGCATGTATATAAGACAAATATATACATATTCCTATATACACCCCCTATGTAGATATGCACAAACATATATGTATGTATGTATATATGTACACACACACACATGTATATATACATATACATAATCCAAATCTAGAACATGGTCCAAATCATATTCAAGGAATCTTACTGAGTTCCTGGGATGACCTCTCTATCAAGAACCTCAGTGCAAACCATTCCATCTTTTGGAAAATATTGCCAACTTCTTGGCTGAAGTCTCTTTTTCTTATGTCCTCACTGACCATTTTTCCAGGTGATGATGTTTAAAATGTGACATGCCCAGTCTTGCAAAAGTTGAGCTTCAATTTGCGTTGAGCTTTGGATTAAGGAATATGCTATCTCTATGGGAGAATGTACACATCAAATCCTTGTACATAACACTGCTCTTGAAGTTTAGAGTTTTGAAGATTTACAGCATTTTTCCTGTATGTTTTTACCTACAGATTGCATTATTTTCATCCTACTCACAAGAAACATTAATTTATCATTAGTCAGAAAGATTTATGTCTCTTGGGAACTAGTCTAGCTTCCTCTGGCTTATCAGGATGAAGACAGACAACTTGCTATTTGGAACTAAAGCAAAACAAATGACTAATTTCAAACAGTTTATCAACTGAAGTTCAGACCTTTGTGGGTCCAGGCCCCAGTCCACTCAGTGATTCTCCTGTCACCAGCGAGTTCACAAGCAGACACTGAAGTTTCCCATGCAGAAACGTATTTCTACTGCTCTGCTCTCTCAAGTGAAGCAGTTGGTGAACCGGTCATGGTGCATAGGATCTGTACCTACAACTAGCTCTCAAAAAACTGACTCCAGTACACTTTGGTGACAAGAAATATGTTGTCTGAAATTGTAACAACAGGACTATGCTTTACTCTTACCTAATATTCTAATGTGAAACCACTTTAAACATCATTTTATTCTAAAAAGCAATCCATTTGTGACTGACGTATCATTGGTTATGCCAGAAACTCTCCTTTCATATGAACTCATCCACAGAGCTAATGGGAAGACTAACACATGCATGTAATGCCTTTCCTCTACCACAGGTGTTTCTCTTCATCTCTCATCTGACTCTCTACAGCTTCTCCTCAAGGTCTGCAACACTGACCTATGGCAGTAAGTATAAGTGGGCAAGAGACTCTGTCCTGTAGGCATGAGCTCTGGAGTAGTCATTTTGGATTCAGAGCATTCAGGCTGTTCAAGATGAGAGTTGGTAGCAAAACTGTGAAAATAACTCTGGCACAAGATTCCCCAGGAAATAAATAGGAGCTCAAGAAGTGTGGAGCACAGAGGATCTTTTACCTATACTAGTGCAGTGAAACAGGGACAGCACAGAGGAACATTCTTCTCCTAAAGGTCTTCCCATGGATCCATAGTAGTGGGATCTAAGGGAGAATGACAGAGGAGAATTTCCTAGGACTGTTCTCTCTGTGTGACAAGAGAACGGGTCAAGTACAGAGGGTCACTAGCATCAAAGGCTGAAGTATTACGGGGAAAATAAATTACATATAATAATGCTTGTTTTTCATATTAGATTATATTATTCAAGAAACAATAGTAAAGATGTCTCAAGCTCATGTCTAAGTTCCTGACAGCCATACTTTTGCACTCATACAAGTGTAATGCTCTTTCTTTTGGACAGTGAAACTGCTGGGCTAATAAGTTCCAGTGCCAGCAAGACTGTTATTTAAGTCCTGGAGTCTGCTTAGAAGAATTTCTGGCTACTCTTAATGGATGGAGGTCTGTTAAGAGTTGAAAACCCTGCTTGTTCAAAGCCTCTCTAAAAGCAGTGTGGCAAAACAAGGAAATTTAACATCCTAACTCAGGAAAAAACAAATTGTACATTGGCATTGGATGAAAGATTCTCCTTTTATTTTAAAACCTCTGTAAAATCAGAGCAATGGGTCAATTCCAGCATTCAGCCAATTTAATTAGCAATTTCAGAGTAATCGTGGTAATGAGCCAAGTCGGCAAAGATGTCATTGGGGTTCTTGCAGTTCAGGTTGCAAAAACAAGCATTGATCCACATGATTTTCCAGGAAATCTCAGTTCCATCTGGGCACTCAAACCTCACTTCAATAGTCTTGGACTTGTAGGGTGTGCAGCACCTGTTGTCTGTGCAGATACCACAATATTTCGGTCTATAAGGACTTTTGCTCACGCATCCCGAGATGGTGTAGTTCATGGGTTCATTGGCCCTGTAGACAGCCAGGCACTTCTTCCCAGGCTAAATCAGGGAACAGAAAAAGAGACTGATTAATACTCATTGCTTCAAACTGACACAGGGAGATGAAAACCACCTTGCGAAGGTTTATGGTTTAGTGGACGTGATGGTGATGGGTTGGTAGTTGGAGTAGACGATCTTAGCATTTTTTTTCCAACCTTAATGATTCTATGATTCTATGAAGCTGCTAGAAGTGTTTTACAGACTGGATCTAGAGGTGTGACAGGTGGACACATCTAAACACGAATCCAGAAGCTGCAAGTAGGATACTTGCAAAATACAACTTATAGGCATGACCAGCAGTGCAGCATCACTTTTCTGCTAGCTGAGCCTCAGATCTGCCTACACCAGCAGTGAGCAGAGCAGGCTTGGCTTGCTTTTCCTTGTAAGGAGCTTTTGGATAAAGTTAAAGCTCTCAGGGGAAGGTTTTCATTCCAGCATGTGAAAGCACAGGAGGGGACATTTTGACCTCTCTGCAGCACAGTGAGTCCGCGTGTGCTCACTAATGGCCTCTGAGTTCAGAAGTGCAGTTCTCAGAGGCCAGCACACTAGCAAACAAAGGCTGGCCTCATGTCCAGACGAAGCTCAAGGGAAGCACGAAGAAGTGGTCCCCACCTTAATGTGCTTGGTGATATCCACCTCGCAGGGCCGCATGTTGCACAGGCGGCTTTCCTTCAGCAGCCGGCACTGGTCGTTGTCGTTGGAAATCCTGGTGGAGATGCCCAGCCCGCAGGTCTTTGAGCAGGGACTCCAGGGTGAAGTGTGAACGATGCAGTTCTTCTGCCAGGCTTCATCCTCCCCCTCGTATGCTATAGGGAACAGATTATCATATATTACTCAGCCAGGCAGCTTTCTGTATTAAACACCCTTGCTCAAGCTCATTACCCATTCAGGCCACTAACCCAAATAATTAAATCACAACGGAGCAGCTCAGCATCCCCACGAAGCTCCGCTTGCTTTTTTACCTCCCCATCCCACCCCCTTTGCCACTGACCTACTTGTGTCAGCCCCTCCAGCACTGCGAGCTCTTGGGGCCGGAGCTGATTTCTCTATTTCTCTTTACAGCCTCACACAAGGAGGTCCTTGTCTGGGCCCCCAGGTGCTATCACAATGCAAACACTTCATCACAGAAGTTGGTGCAGAGAAGTAATGAGATCTGATCGCACCATGAAGGGTTATGATTTCTGAGTCCATTCAATTGATTCCCTGTAGCAGAAAGTTGCTGACAGTCTTTGCTCTACGGCTGAGAGGTCTGGGAAGCAGCCACCGCCTTTCATTGGAAGGAAGAGCAGCTTGAATAGCTCACAAGGAACTTGGGAACCGCTTAGAAAAGGGTGGGCTCTGTTTTGAAAGGAGTCATCGACCTCAGGTCAGGTTCCTTCACAGTCTCTGTAAAAGTCCCCTCTGGTCTGCAGCTCACAGCATGGCTCTGATAGAAACTCAGCTGTGCTGAGCATGCTCATTATAACACTAGCTATCAATTTTAAAATGTTATTTTAATAATTAAATCAAATATAATAAAAGATAACCCTACTTCTAAGATAAAAAGTTAGGCAGGGAAAGCTGTGCTATGCCCATTTGTATGCCATAGTCCATGCAGAGAAAAGGCACATTTCAGTAAGAGATGCTTTAAATTTGGATCTATTTTGCAGCTGAGAGATACCAGGGACAGAAGTGAGTGATAAAATCTGGTGGTTTTAATCCACAGAAAAGAGACTAAAGATTTTTCAGGAGTTGGATTTGATGATACTTTATGGGTCTCTTCGAACTCAGTATATTCTATGATTTTTTTTATTTTTATTTTTTTGTACAACAATCATACGGTCCAAGGATGGAGAAAAAATTTATGTATCATCAACGGAAAAATAACCAAGTTCCCTGGCCTACTGCAAACAACCTGTGTCTCCTTGAGCTCTACTTTTGTGACATATTCTGTGGAATGATGTGACTCACATCTGTACATTGCTTCACAACGTTATGAGGATAAATGTATGACACATGGCAATGGAAACACACTGCAAGATTTAGAGACCATGCAAGTGGCAAATGGTACCACATCTGTTCAGAGAACTATATGATCCTCACTGTGAATGTGAGTGTGAGGGAAAAAGATACCTTATATGATACATAACGTAAGGTGAATAATGACATTGATCCAAGTGAACATAACTGCAAAAACCTGTAGAGATACAAAGACATTTTTGCCTAAAATTTCTAGTGAACCTTTCACCACAATATTTCAAAGCGTATCTGAGTTTGGGACTATTGAGGGGCTTTAAAAATGTACTACTAATGCAGTACCAGCCAGAAAGAAACTCTCAGTATCAAATTAAAATGAGATCACTTTGCTTTTCAGAGGTCCAGACAGAGAAAAAATGGTGAAGTAAAAAGGACTTGTGACATCTTACAAGTGCCAGCAGTGTGTTTATTGTCACACAAGCATGTCTGATCAATCTCACGTTGCTGCTCAGGAGGTAAAGCACCCCGCTGCTGTATACGTGTCCTGTCCTTCACTACAAGTCATCTAAGAGTGTCTGTGCCTTGTTCACACAAATACAAGACACCTGCCAGGCCAGACAGTGCAAACTAATAATTTTGTTGCTGACACTGACTTCAATTCAGGACAAGAGGTAATGGCCTTAAGTTATACCAGGGGAGATACAAGTTGGGTATTAGGGTATTAATTTCTTCTCAGAAAGAGTGGTGACATAGTAGAACAGGCTGCCCAGGGAGCTGGGGGAGTCACTGTCCATGCAGGTGTTCAAGAAATGTAGAGAAACGTGGCACTGAGGGACACAGTTTAGTGGGCATGGTGGGGATGGGTTGATGGTTGGACTAGATGATTGTAGTGGCAGCTTCCAACCTTACTGATTATATGATGCTATGGTTCAGTTCCCTGATTACTAAGGAGACATCCACCAAACTCTCACCATACCTGCAGAAGAGATGTGACGTGGAGAAGTCTTCCTGATTTTCTTGGAGTCATCACAAACCCACTGCTCACAGCACTTCCCTGCCATCTTAATCAGTTTTGGGTTTGGGCACCAGACAAGGGGGGGGCGTGAGTTTGTGCACATGGGAATGCAGCCCACGGCCCCATTAATGCATGTGCAGTTGTATTTGCAGTTGGGCTGAAATGTGTCCCCATTATTATATCTGACTCCATTGAGGACACATCCTACACCGACAATCTCTGAAAGGAGAGAAGAAAAAGACACACAAAGCACCATTACAATAATGCTGTCAATGAACTGTGTTAATGTATTCCTTTTAACGCACTCTGACGTGCATTAAAAAGAGTGTGGCCAGCAGGCAAGGGAGGTGATCCTTCCCCTCTACTCTGCCCTAGTAAGGCCACATTTAGAATACTTGGTTCAGTTCATAAGAGACAGGGATCTCCTAGAAGGGATCCAGCAGAGGGCCACAAAGATGATAAAGAGCCTGGAGAATCTCCCATTTGAGGAAAGACTGAGTAACCTGGGTCTGTTCAGCCAGGGTAAAAGAAGACTGAGAGGGAATCTGATAAATGTTTATAAATATCTAAAGGGAGGTAAGAGGCCAATGGATGAGCCTAGGTTCTTCTCAGTGGTATGTAGCAATAAGACAAGGAGCAAAGGCTTAAAACTTGAACATGAGAAGTTCCATACTAACAGCAGAAGACCTTTATAGGAAGGGTGACAGAGCACTGGAACAGGTTGCTCAGAGGGATTATGGAGTCTCCTTCTATGGAGATATTCGAGATCCATCTGGATGCCTACCTGCGCTATCTATTGTAGGGTCCCCCCTTAACAGGGGGTAGGACTTGTGATCTCTAGAGGTCCTTTCCAAGCCCTGCAATTCTGTGATTTACCAAGCTGCTCTCTGAGCAAAAGGAGGCAACACAGGGACATGTCAGGGCTGCAGTGTTCAGCATGAGACAAATGTAGTCACACCATCTGAGAAACCTTAAATTCCGAATCACTGAAAAAATAAATCCTATAATGCTTCATGAAAAAAAAATGGTATAAAATAAAATGTTTCATGCACAAATTCTCACTTAAATGATCGTTTCATTGCAGGCTGAAATAAACTATTAGAAGCTATTCACAGTAGGAACAACCCAATTAATTAAAACTGAAACTGAGTGAAATTTGATAATTTCTGAGAAATAAGAGAGGATTGCATGCAGTCTCAATGCAATACAGATCTGGTTGACACTTGTACCCTTCCAAAGCAGCAGTAGGAAGAGAACTGAGATAGCAAAGGAGCACCTAAAATGAGAGTGGATTACTGTATTAGGGAAGTAGATCCCACCGAGTTTATCACAGAACAATTTCCTTGGAAAATTAAGAAAAACACTATAATGTTATGAAAAATATCATTTGATGCATATTTGTAAATAAAAGCATGGATGATCAAGTTTTTTTTGCTATCCTTGAATAGGAATCTCATTGATTCAGGCAATAAGATGCAGAGCAACAATTTTAATTTTGAAGGCATGGACAATTCTTTGGAATCGGTGGGAGAAATCAAATAGTAAATTCAAGCTTCAGTTTCCTGTTTGGTCACACGGAGGCAGTGTGCACCCAGAGATCAGTTTGCTCAAGTTTTAAGTCTGGTTGGAAATGGAGCTGCAGTGCGGTTGTGCTTCAGGGCCAGCACAAACTGAAATGCTGGATTAAAATCCTCAAAAGCTGCCTATTTTTAGAATGAGTGGAATGAAAAGATCAAACACAAATCCTTTCTTTTACACACACAGAAAATAAATAAATAAATATACTTGCTGGAATGTGAAGCACAGAACCAGATTGTGCTTAGCTCCAATTGCAATGATGCTTCAGCCTTTATATTGAAGGTTTACTCATTGTTGGAGCCAAAGCAGAGGATTCTGCTGCACACATTTCTGGCTGCGCACACAGATTATATTTCAAGAAAATTCTGTATTCCCTGGTATCTTTTTATTTGCTTATTTGCTGGAGGACACTCCTCCAGAACTGTGCTAACTCTGCTTCCTAAAGTCCACATCCATGAAGAGGTTCACTGTGAAAACAACCCCAAACACAGACTGTGCACACAGACTGCATCTAAGATGAGCGAATGGGGGGTACTTCACAATTCCCATCCTTATATGCACAAAACCTACTTCTCCATCTGGATGTGTGTTCTGCACCCCACTGTATCCCTGCTACAGTACAGAGAAAATCCAGCAACACAAGGAGAGCTGTAGTGATTCTCAACAGGCTCCTATCTGATGTCCAAGACATACATCAGCATGCTAGTCCAGATACACTCTGAATTTCCACCATATTTCTTTTCCTGATTCTGCTTCCAAGATCATTCAGGATCTTTATTTTCCACAAATCCTATTGTTCCTGTAAGTCAAGCATGCCCAGAGAAGTTGTGCATTCCCCCATCCTGGAGGCATTCAAGGCCAGGCTGGATGGGGCACTGATCAACCTGATCTAGTGGGAGGTGTTCCTGTTATAGCAGAAGGATTGGAACCAGATGGTCTTAAAGGTCCTTCCCAACCCAAACCATTCTATGATTCTATGCTTTGGATTCTCTAGAGCTAGAGTTTTTGGCATCCAGCTACATAGCAAATTCCTCACAACAGTTAGCCCCCTAACCCCCAACTCAGAGCTCCACCCTTGCCTTCAGTCACCCTATAGCCAGTGAGAGTCTGGTGTATTTGGAGTGGAGGGATGCAGCCTATGTACAACATAGAGCATGGAAAAGAACGTGTCAGCACATCCTGTCATCTGCATCCACCCACATGCTGAAAGCAAGGGGAACACCACAACTTTTTGTTGTAGTCAGAGATAAGCTGTTTTACCTCATAATCATGGAAAGACCTAGCTTCTCATGTCCCTCAGCTGTGCACACCACCATGCCCCTCACCATATAACCAAAAATGTCACAAATTAGGGGATATATTTTCATGATAATAGGGGATGTGAAAGCATATTGGATGGGGAATCTTTTTAGACCTCACAGGACAAGCTGTAGCTCCTACTACAACACACTGTTATTGTCACAAGTGTAGTAATTATTTGGGATTTGTGGGAGGACTACAAATTGTGAAATCCAACTAAGAAAACAAGTGTTTAGATAAGTAAACACAATGCAATGTGAAGTCTTCCAAAGAAGCTTAGGAAGGCTGAGGAAGAGACAACCTCCAGCTTGTTTTCCTCTCCAACTGCAGGGCCAGCTGAACTGACAAAGTTTTTGACAGATGTTTACCTAACCTGTTCTTGCAGACCTCCCAAGAAGATACCATGTTCACACCAGACAAAACATCTGAATGATCCTATATCCTCTTTTCTTTATCTTGGATCTTTCTAATCTTAAAAATCACAGTTTAAGTTTCTAGCTCCCATAACATAGCTTCTCTAGGTGTTATTCTGTGTATGCTACAAAAATGTGCTGTTCTTCTTTGAAAACCATTATTGGGAATAAGTCTTTCCATCAGCATGTTTTTCATCCAGACCCCAATATTTCTTGTCTTTAAAGACAGTTGCACAACAGCACTTCCTACATTCACAACCCACTATAGAACCTTTTCCTGTTACAAGGAATGTAGAATCATCTACTTGCAAACCTGAAGGCCTTCAAATGATGGTTACTTCTTGCTTGTGGATGCAGCAACTCAAAAAGCAAGAATTCATTTGCCATTCCTCCTCATCCAGCCAGCTACCCCAAGACTAAAGACAGAAAGGAAATGGAAGAGGATGAATGGAGGAGCCACTGAATTTACAGTCAAGCATTTAATGAGATAAATTTCAGCTCAGACAGAGAGGAGCTGCCAGTGTATATCTAAGTCAAAAATATATGTACATCACTTACGTGCACATACTCCTATTTCGTACCTAGGTCTGTCTCCACTGTAGTCACAATACAGGCCCCTATGAAAATCACAGGTATCAGCCTCAGTGCAATTTTCTCCACGCTGCTTGGCGCACATCTTGCAGCAATCGCAGCCATCTGTGACAAGGCTGACTCCTATTGAGCACCGAGGTGGGGACTTCGGACACTCGCACGGCCACTTACAGTACTGAGTCCGTGTGTAGGCCTCTGTTGCAGCAGGGATGGTGGGGGTCATGGTGGTGGAGGTCTGGGCAATGGCCTACAAACAAAGAAACACAGCTTGGAAACTGTTCCAGAGAAAAGTGGCCGTGAATCCTGCGGTGATTAGTCCTCAATAAAAATCCCATTGGTTCCAAAGACGCTACAAGGAAACCAAAGAATAAATGTCATAAATGCGCTGCTCTACCATAGACCCCTTTAGATGTCAACCAAGGACAAAGACTCTGCACCTTGGACTATCATTCAAACTGCATAGATCCAGATTGCTGTTACTCAGCCTTTTCCAGACCTCTCCTCTCTGAACATGTAGGAAAATCTGATATATGAGATGAAGATGTGATGAGTCCGGTCCATATTATCCTGGGTACTTGGCTATGAGAGAGGTTACTTGTGTGGTAGAGGATGCTTCACCATAGCTGTTGTTGCCTGTTGGTTGAGAGATAGCATTAGAGCCTTTTGACAACTTGAAGGCTCCCTCAGGCAACAGTAGCTGCCATTCAGGTCTCCAACCAGGGTCATCATAGAATCATCATAGAATGGCCTGGGTTGAAAAGGACCACAATGATCATCTAGTTTAAATCTCCCTGCTATGTGCAGGTCGCCAACCACCAAACCAGGCTGCCCAGAGCCACATCCAGCCTGGCCTTGAATGCCTCCAGAGATGGGGCAACCTCCTTGGGCAACCTGTTCCAGTATGTCACCACCTTCTGAGTGGTAAACTTCCTCCTAATATCTAACCCAAATCTCCCCTGTCTCAGTTTAAAACCATTCCCCCTTGTCCTATCACAATCCCCTCATAAACAGCCATTCCCCTGTTTATATGCTCTCTTCAAGTATTGGAAGGCCGCAATGAGATCTTCCCAGAGCCTTCTCTTCTGCAAAAGAGGTTAAAGTGTTGTATTTTGAAAACACAGGAAAATGGGCTCTATCTGACTTCCTTTTCCTTGGATTTATCCCTAGTTATGTGGGTCTTGCATTCAAAACATCCTCTCACAAGAGGACAGGAAAAAGGTCTGTGAGCCCACAACACACTGACATGCAGCTAGGAACTTCTTTGATGTGAGGATGAACTAAAATCTACAGATTTTACACTCTATCATGGATCTCCTGAGGATGGCTTGGCCACCTATTCTCTTCTTGCAATAGCATTAATACAACTGCCTTCTTACAATACCTTAGCACTTTAACTTGAACAGAAACAAGGTTAGAGAAAAGCAAAGAGACTCTCTGAAATAAAAATCTATCCAACTGGCTCTGAGCATTTTGATATTCAAGTACACTCACCTCTGAATAATGTTTTGCTTGCCTCCTGTAACACAACACACATAAAATTGAGTTCCCTGAGAGATTCCCAGTGCTAAGCAAGGAAGCTATACTCTGGCTATAACATTTTAAAAAAAGAATAAAAAAGACATGCATTTCTTTTAACCATCCCCATCTTTATCCATCCTTTGTAGTGTTCAGTCCTAAAGTAGAAACTTTCCCCAATGACAAGATGTGAGGGCTGCAAAGAATGCATTTGTAACTCTGCAAAGTGCAGAGAACAAGGAAAGACAAGATCTAACAACTGCTAAATTAATCCCATCCATTCCTGGCTATCTTGTACTGTTGTGACAGTGCACTCCTTTCCCGCCCCAACACCCCCCTCTCCCGCCACAATCCAGCCTGATCGTTGTGGCCTATTTAAGGCCTAGTGCACACAATGAGGTGGAAAAGATCTTGTTCTTGGGACTAATAACAATCAAGGTTTCACCACTGGTGCTCAAACACTTGATAACAGACACCTGGTTCAACAGAACCAATTCTAAACTGTATGACTGTGAGTCAACCATTCCACCCAAAAATACCAAGCAGTCTAAGAACCCCTGGCAGAGTAACTCTCTCCTTGCAAGCATCTGGCTGCACACCAGAATCTCCCCTTGAGTAGGTGCAAGTCTCGAGGATACTTAACATGCGTGCAGAGATTCACTCAGGACTTGGTGATGCCTTGCTGACAGATCCTCTGTGATTTATTGTTTTTAAACTACTCTAGTTTTGCTAAGATTTGAGCTTAGATTCATTTTTCACCCCCCACCTTTTGTGTAGCAAATAGTCAAGGATAACTAGCCATTTCAAATCTTGTTAAGTCATTGTTCAAATTACCATCTTGTATCTATTTATACCAATAGGTAAATTTCTGCCTTCCTCTTACAAGTGAAGCGTGCAGTGCTTTAGCCTTCTCCCACAACAGCTGTATATTCTATATATAAAAGAAAGAGGTGGAAGTGGAGACCTTTTTTACAATATCCTAACAGCCTCGCTGGTTGGGTCTGTGTACCCAGGGCTGTCAGCAGCAGCTAATCACTCTTTAGAAATAACCATATTTCTTTCAGATTGACTGTCCTAAGCCAGGACACTGAAGTTAATAGCAACACTTAAAGTGGACACCTACACGTGCACATCTGAGGAAAGGACTGAGAATTCGTCCTGTCTCTCCTCCAAGCGGTGCATCTGCTTTCTCCTGGTTCTATATATTTTCCAATGGATTGTTTTCTTTACAGTGTCAAATGTCTCAAAAAAAAAAAAAACAAAAAAAACACGGGGTGGGGGTTGGCTGGCTTTCTATTCACTCCAATCAAAACAAAGGCTTTGTTGGGAAAAGCCAAGAATTGCCACTGCTAGTGCTATATTTGAAGATAAGTATCTTAGTAATTAGTTATCCTTTATGCAGAACACTAAACTGTTAACTCACTGCTAATCTCTGCCAAATAGGCACTGTGTTTGCTCTGGGCATCATTCCCAAATCCATTAAGGCCTCCTTTACACAGAGCTGGCCTTAAAGTTGGCTTAAAATCACATTCAAACTCATGTTTAAACTAAAACATACCAATATAATTTATTCCCACTTTAAAGCTCCTTAATGCTGCCAAAGTTGTTAAAAGAGGAATGTCCAGAACAATGAAAAGCCCTGTCCCTTTAATGGTATTTTTCATTCCACTCAGAATAGTTTGAGAAAGTTCAATAATCTGTCACTTGAGAAGCCTCTTCAAGTGCAATAAACCTATTTACTTTGTTGCTGATGAGTAAAAAAGTGCTTAATCAAATCCAGATAGACAGACAAAAGTCACACAGCTATTTAAAGGGCCCATTGCCATGGCCCAACCCCGTAAGTAAATCCCTTCGCAGACCATTGTTTCTACTGTTAATAAGGGCAAGCAAACAGCCCTATGTGTATCTACATTACCTACATTATCTACATTAAATGTCTGTGAATCAACATACAGAAAGTAATCAGTAAGTCCTGTCAATCCATTGATTATAGTTAATAGGTGAGGGTTAAGACTGCATACTTGTAAAGGACTTGTAAAGGCTCCGTCACCACCATATATTGAAATGCGTCCATCATGCACCAGAGCAAGTGTGCTACCTGTGCAGCTTCCAGGCCTTCTTCCTCTACCCTCCTGATTCCCTTTGTTACAAAAGAAGCAATTCTACACATTTATAAATACTTGGCCTTTTCTCATGGCCATCTGTCACCACTGGGATACCTAAATCCCTCTGGAAAAGTCATTTAACCCCTCTACTGCAGCATCTCAGAGCCTTTTGGGATACTTTCCTATTTATGGTTAAGTCACAGCGAGTAATGTTTTCTAAAAAACATAATAAAAACCATCGTTTCCACGGTTACTATCAAAACCACACAGTAATGGTCCTCATCAACAGGCATCCTTACCAAAATCAAAGTAGAATTAACAACAACAACAAAGGCACAGCACAACAAAAGCTTTCGTGTAAGTTACCATTTCAAGAATCGTGTCTTAAGGGTCAATATAATACAGAGGAGGACAACTATTTTGTATGAAATTCAGCATGAGAGTGAAGAGAAATGTAACAATAGTGATGGGGAGTTGAAAAACATATTTTAAAACAGAAAAAGTGTTTTTTTTTTTCCAGATATTGGTAATTAATTTCATTTTTATAACTACTCTTCATACTTGGGGTCAGCAAATCTGTTGTGTTGGGTGCTGAGGAGAAGATGCTCCACTGCAAGTTATTAACGAGATCTAACTATGTTGCTACTGGGGATTAAAAATCCATTCTCACTTACTGACTGAAGTATTTCTCTGTAATAACATCTCTCCTAATTTATGCTAGGCAAACCCCAAAATCATTTCTTTTTGTATCCACAGATAATAACATTTCACTAGCAATAACTTCCTGATAATTTCTAGGTTCACAGTCAAGAAAAGAGAAGAAGAAAACAAAGTGTCTGAGTGGGTACCACGGCCACAAAATCAATACTTGTAATAGCCACAAGTTTTATTATGCAGATTTTTAAGATAAGATATGAATACCAGAGTTTTTGCAGCATATTCTATCTACTGGAAAGCTGTATTTCCAATCTGTTGGAAAATACCATAGATGTAAGTTTGTTTTATTTTTTAAAGTTGGAAAAACCAAGATGCAGTGTTGAAATTAATGCATACAGCCCAAATTGCAAGAGAACAGCAACGCTGTTACATAATACATGAGGAAACCTCAAGTTTTGTTTTTAGAATAAAGGCTGAGATACATTGGAATATATTCCTTTACTTCCACTTCTTATAGATCTTTAAAAGTACATTTGCATGTACTCATTTAACTGTTCCAATGCTGTAAGATCTTAGTCTTAAAATCTTTCAGCTAATTTTTTCTCAAGACAAGGTAGGTCTTGTCTTGGAGAAGAAAGGAGAGAAAAGTTATCAGTGTTCTTCCCCTCTATTTTATTGATGAGAAAAAAGGTGGACCGTCTCTATTTTCCAACTGTAGAGAAGCTCAAAGGAGCATTTTTAAGCTACATTTCTGATACTGCCTTTCTGAACATTTTCGAGACGCAATCTGAATTATCTCCTGTCCTCCACCTCTGGCACACTCACAAGAGAAAGATGTTGAAGTGGAGACCTTTTTTATAATACCCTCCTTATTATCAAAAGAAGATTATGTGATCAAATCATCTGATTTACAGACTGCCCCTAACAGCCTCGCTGGTTGGATCTGTGTACCCAGGGCTGTCAGCAGCAG